AAGCCTCCATCTCTTCATTCATAGCATTTAACCAATTTTGATCACAACAAGCATCTTTAAAGGATTTGGGCTCAACAGATTTATTCAAGTTTGACACAAAACAGAAATTATCCGAAGAAAGACAGGAATAATTAACAACCCTTTCTATACCATACTTGACCTTTCCCTCGACGACAAAATCATCAAATTTTCGAGGGAAATTACTAGCTCTAGAGAATCTTCTAAGAGGTTGAGTTTGGGGAATATTTCCCTCAAAGATAAGACCTGGATTATCATCAGTATTTGAAACCACAACATCATTAGGAGGACTGAAAACCAGTCTAGGGCTACCCAAAGCCTGCCAACTGGTAACTCTACCAAGACTATCCTCTTGGGGAAGACTTTGTCTATCCTGATCATCAGAGCTGCCTAGCGGTTGACTATTATTGTCCATAGATAGGCTACCTAGTCCTCTTTGGTTACTGTTACTAGAATTGTCATGACCATTAAGGTCATCAGTAAAAGGTCTACTATTCTCATCGTCGGGTCCCACAACATCAAACTCATTAGATGGATCAGAAATACTATCAAAGAAATTCAAATTGTTAACATTTTCATTTTCAATCAGACCAGTTTCCTCATTACCCATTTTGAATGGAAAAATATTTTCATAAAACTTTGTGTCTCTAGAAAAAATGATTTTCTTGGTTTCTAGGCTATACAGCCTATAACCCTTTTCGAATTAGCATATCCCAACATAATGCACTTCTCAAATTTGGGAAAAAATTTGTCAAACACATTCGGTATAAGAACAAAACAGAGACGTCCAAAGTTACGTAAATGAGTTAGAACTGGCTGAAATCCATAGATAAGCTCGTAAGGGCTCTTACCATTCAAAAGGGAAGTGGGAGTGCGATTTATCAGATAAGTAGCAGTTAAGACACATTCATTCCACATGTTAAGAGGCACTCCAGCCTGAAACATGAGAGCCCTGGCAATATTAAGGAGGTGTCTATGCTTTCGTTCAACCACCCCATTTTGCTGGGGTGTATAGACACAAGAAGTCTGATGAACAATTCCTTTTGACTCAAAGAATTCACACAACCTTTGGTTTGTGAACTCAGTCCCATTGTCACCCCTAAAAATCTTAACATTTTTTCCAAATTGAGTAAGCAACAGATTACAAAAACTCTCAATATGGTCAGATACCTCATGTTTTCCTTTTAAAAGATAAACCCACACAGCACGGGTAAAATCATCAACCACAGTTAAGAAATATTTAAACCCTTCTCTGCTTTGGACTGGTAAGGACCCCATATGTCTAGGTGAACAAGTTCACCTAGACTTTCAGACTTGTGAATACTAGTGCCAAACTTTTCACGGGTTTGTTTTGCCTTATGGCATATTTCACAAGGACCAATATTTTCATTTCCAATGTTCAATTTGTCTTTTAAAACATGGAAGACTTGATCAGCAGGGTGACCAAGTCTACTATGAGATAATTGAGATGAGACAAAACATATCATACCACAATCACTGGAAGCGAAAGAAACATTATTGTTATCAAAAAAGTATAGCCCTCCGTTCTGATTACCAATCCCCACAATGTTCTTCTGCAGATAATCCTGAACATAGCATTTTGTTTCATCAAATTTTACACAGACTTTATTGTCTCTGGTGAGCTTATGAACGGACAAAAGATTTACATTAAACTCGGGAACCACAAGGATATCAAAAAGGGTCACATTTTTGGACAACTTTAGGTTACCAATTTTGTTTATCTTCGCTTTGGTACCGTTAGGATGAGTAACACTAAGGTTTAAATCTGTGACATCAACAATATTTTCTAAATTTGAGGGACAAGATGTCATGTGTTGATTGGCTCCCGAATCAATTATCCATCCAGAATGGGAATTTTGATACATACCTGCCATATTGGCAGAGGCTCCTTCGGAGGTAGTTTTAGGACTGATCAAGTTCAGGATCTTAGCTACATGTTCTTCAGAAAAGGTAAAAGATGATTTTGAAGGAACAGAGTCGGGAATAGAGACATTTCCAGCAGAAGGTCTAAAATTTTGACTTTGTGGCTTAGAATTTTGAAATTGAGATTGTGGTTTGGGACGATTTTGAAAGTCTTTTGGAAAACCTATGAGTTTGTAACAGCGCTCAATTGTATGCCCAGAAATACCACAGTGTTTACAAAGAAGATTATTTGGACCCTTTCCTGTTTTCCTTTTATTTTCAAAACCTTTGCTTAAAAAAGCAGAATTCTGAGTTTTAAAGCGATTTTGACCAGAATTAGAATTCCTATGAGATTCCTCCCTAGACACAAGAGAAATGGCTGTTTTAACAGAAGGAAGAGGATCTCTATTTAAAATGTTGCTTCTAATTGGCTGATACACATCATCAAGACCCATAAGAAATTGCATTAGTTTAATGAGTTGAGTGTGTTGGAAAAAATCGTGCAAAGCATTGCAAGTACAGGATGGAAGTTTCACAAGGGCATCAAATTGCTTCCAAAAAGAATTCAGCTTATGGTAATATTCTGAGACAGTCATATTATTTTTGAATTAGAGAGTTTATTTTTTGGTACTAATTAAAGGTTACCGACCCATCGACCTTGTCGTAAGTTTCTTTTAATTCCTCCCACACTTGGGAGGACAATTTTGAAAACACCTGTCCAAGAAATAAGTCCTCCRTCATGGAACTTAARATCCATGAGAGRACAACCGAATTACATMTATCCCACTGTTTTTCAAGAGCRGRGTCATTAATRGGACGGRTAYAGGAGCCATCAATAAAGCCTATTTTATTCTTAGTCTCTAAGGCTAACATCATAGCACACGACCACACACGATAGTTATCAGTTCCGCTAAGCTTAAAAGATAAGATAGAGCCTCCACTAGTATCGCTAGGATGCAAGTACAGTGGGTCTCCAAAGTCTAATTTTGTGACTTTGGACTCCATTGGACTTGACGAGCTAGCAATAACAAGAGAAGATTCCATAAGCAAAGAGGAACACACACACGAAAACAAAAAACTGAAATGCTTAAAGGCAGGATTCCTAAAACACTTTATTGTGCTAGGTCAAACCAACCAGACAGTTTCTCTTACAAAAAAACAAGGGCACACAAGGCACACATAAGATGAGCAAACTTATTATAAGCAAACAGAAATACAAACAAACAGAAGCAATCTTACCACAGGATCCTTTAACAGAATTAAAGGATAAAACAATACAAGATAACCAGTCACCAGAAAGGAAAGAGCAATTTATAAGAAGAGTAAGAAGGCAACTTATCAGAGAGATACTCCAGGATGTACCTGAATAGATAAAATGAGTTAGAGTAACACAAAAGTCAGATCTGAACATATACAGATCTTGACAACCAAAACTCAACCTGATCATGAACAGTACGGACAAAGAGGATTTAATAGAGTACACAACAATGTATGCATATACAGCGGATAAATGGGTATATAAATGCAAGTATATATGCGGATAACAGATCTGGAATGAAAGGACACAGATCTAACATAATACATAGTAGATCTGGAAAAATAGGACACAGTTCCAAAATATGAACGTAAGCATAGTAGATCTGGAAAAATAGGACACAGATCGAAAAAAATGCAATATATACATGCAATATAACGAGATCTGGAGGTAGGACACAGATCGAAAAAAAATGCAGAATGTAACAAGATCTGGAGGTAGGACACAGATCCTTAATCAATAAAGGAACAACAGTATCACGAGAGGGGACCACAAAATGGATGGCACACACCCAATCGGTCATCTACAAACATATCTTAACAAAAAAAAAAGAGTTAAGAACAGATATCATGAACATTATAGTAACAGATCTGATTCTTAAACACATAGAGATCAAGACCACACAAAGGACGGTACACACCCAATCAGTCATCTACAACCAGATCTAATTAAGAAGCTACAAATTTAAGAACATATATTCATGAATATACTGATAATAGATCTGATTCTTTAAACACAGATTTATCAAGGTATCACGAGAGGGGACCACACAGAGGATGGTACTCACCCAATCGATCATGTACAAAACAAGACTCAACAAGAAGATGAAGAGTCAAACACAGAAAGAGAAACAAACACAGGAACGAGCCTTAACCTCTGGTACCATGTTAAGTTTCATATTGCTAAAAGATTTTACGATTTTATTATTGAAACAAAACTGAAATTACACAATCATAACAAGAATTACTAAATTAGATTACAATAAGCAAGATCTAAACATCTAACAATATTAAAACTAAAATATGAAAACAAGAACACTAACTCAGATGGAGAATGCTTAGAACCGAAGGTTGGTTTCAAGAATGTATGAGAGAGAGAGAGAGGAAGAGAGGTTTCTTCTTTATGCCTTTTGATGTAGAAAGAAAATTATGAATATTATTAGTTGTATCCAGCTCCTTCTCCTTTTTATATATGATTTATCACTTTGGCAGAAATGGTCCYTGGAGATACAATATGTGAGCTCCGCTACCCTTTGTGTTTCCAAAAAAATGAGGCACCATCCTTCATATTGACAAGCATAAGAAAAAGTCAAATCTATCCAAATCTGTTCAAGAAATAACAAATCAAGGACATTTCAAAGTTTAATTAGTAATGTTTTAGAATATGTCAAGATTGGATAGACATGTATTTTAACAAAAATGTTTATTAATTTATTATAAAATAGAATGATTTAAGTTTTTTAAAAACTTTTTATTATCTATTTGGCATCGGTATAAATGTTATCCCACACCTAACAATTCTTATTATCGATGATGATCACATGATCAATGCCAAACACCCCTTTGAACAAAAATTCATTTCTTAATTTATTTGCGTGTTAGCAATGAGTTTCTGAATTATATTTCAAAGGCAGGATAAGTTGAACGATTTGCAGTCTGTCTGAATCGCTTGAAACTTGTTATAGATCCGTTCATCAAACAAAGAGTGAGATTGTTTGTGTTTGTGGAGGAGAAGGAACTTGAGGATGTCGTGTTTAGTTGGATGTTGTGCTTCTTTAACATGCGGTCTGTGCACATCGGCGGCATCGACAATCACAAAGAAATCAGCTAGGCTCGGCTATTGTGGTCTCTTTGGTCTCTCTTTGATCGTCTCTTGGGTCCTCCGGGAAGTCGGAACTCCGCTTTTAAAGAAAATCCCTTGTTAGTTGTTCTCTTATATCTCTATCTCGCACATACTTTGATTGTGTCTTCATGAAATCGTAGATTAGGTTTTGTTTGTTAATGTCGTTTTTGGAACAATTGATTGGGTTTACTATTTCTTTCTCCAATTTCATGTTCTTAACTGATTGATTAGCTCTATATTGTATTAAAATGTTAGGTTTTCCATTAAGAATAGTAGGCTGTGCCTGTGGTGGTCATTACTCAAATTACCAGGTTTTAGCTTGTGTAGTTGTAAACAAGCGGTAGAGCAGGTGGTTTAATTCGATGCAAAGAGAAGAACCTTGTCAGGCTTGACATGCCGCGGCTTTCTTGACCGCCTCTACATCAGGCAAATTTGGTTAATTTTTTTAATTGAATGTTTTGTTATCGACGAGAATTGGTCATCTATGTGACATAAGGTGTGTAGGAGAAATGAGTACAATATGCTATTAGTTTGCATGAATTTTAGAAACAATCCAAGAACTTAGGGATAGGTACGAATACGTATTAATATTGTCAAATACAGTGAGTTTATATTGATTGATTCAATGGCAAAAGCAGGGAGAAAACATGTTTGAACTGGGTAAAGATTTTAAGGGACAAAGCTGTTTGAACAGGTCTTATGAGCTAACCAGATTCCTAAGAATATGATGATTGCATTGGAAATGTTTGGATGGTCACAAATAGTGAGAATATGTGGAACCCCATCATATTACTTTACAAAAGAGCCTCAAGAAGATAAGGAGGTTCCAACATATATACTGGGGAAAGGTTCCAAGTTTAGCGGAAATGGAACTCCAATATACCTTGCCAATGGAGGCTAGACGGAGATTGTACTCCAGTTCTTATACCATGTAAGAATATGGAACTTTGTCAGATTAATCTACAAAAGAGCCTTGAGGAGGGAAGGGAGGTTCTGACATATATATATATATACATACATACATACATACATACTAGAAGGGTACTCGCGCAATGCAACGAGATATATCTTGATTTTGGTGTTTCATTTTATTCTGTCTCTGTAGATGTTTTAATACGGTTTTTATGTGGTTTTGAGAAAGGGATTATGTTTTTGTTTTTGAATAAAATATAAATTTGAAGATATTATAAAATTTTGAAAATAAATATATCAATATTAGTATCAAATTAACTATTTAAAAGTTCTTGTTTTTTGTGTAATTTCTTTAATTCAATTTTTTATTTTAATTTAATTTAGATTTAGTAACGAAGTAATTTATTTTTGATTTAATAATATAAATTTTTATAAGGATAATGATTAAGTATTTTGTTAGAACTCAATGATTATCCTAATTATATTTTAGATTTTTTATATTTAAGATGAAATGTTTATCTTGTATTTGACTATGTTTATTTGCAGTTAGTTACACGAATTCAAACAAGAAGTTTTAACAAGTTGTACTTACGCATAATTTATTTATAATCTTGAATTTTAAGTAATATGCATCAATAAACAGTACTTCATGCATAAAAAATGGTTTTTAAGAGTTTTTGTCAAATGCTTTATAATATAGTATATATATATAGAGAGAGAGAGAGAGTGAGAGAGAGAGAGAGAGAGAGAGGAGAAGGGGCCCAAGTTTAGCCATGTGGGACTCCAATAACTATATGAGGTTAGTGTTGATGGTCTTGAAGAAAGCTTCAAAAGCCAAGGAATTTTATTTTTCCATACTTAAAAGTTTATTATTGTGGGTTCACGTTTTGATTAATAGGTAGCACCAAGTTCTCATGATTGATATAAATACATTTTGGTTTAAATATTACTAAAATGCTTGCTTGTGTTTTAACTCTGTGCATGTTATATAAATTATCTTAGAAATAGTTGAAAAAAGAATGTGAGTTCGTTTCATCAACATATCATGATTCGTGACTGTCGTTGATAGCGAATGGTGACTCTGTTCACAAATTGGCGACCGTTAAAGCATTTAGAGCCTATAATCACACCTGTCTTAGAAACCACTTTCTCTAGAGCATATCACCTACAATTTATTGATGGCGTCATACCACTCTCCAAAAGAGACCTCGAGGAGAAAGGGAGGTCCCAACATATATACTGGAGAAATAGATGGACATAAATTGTCCCAGTGTGTCGAGAGGGGGTTAGCCAGAGTGTCGAGTCTGTAGATTGAGTGGCAGATCTTGACTCTGATACCATGTGAGAATATGTGAAACCCTCATATCACTCTCCAATGGAGGTTCCAACATATATACTGGAGGAATGGTCCAAGTCTAGCCAATGTGAGACTCCAACAAGGGTTATTAGCCCACTACATATATACATATTAAAGTGGTCAAGGTATGCGCCCTAGAGCATAGCGCGGGATTAAGTGTCTTAGCACGCTTCCACAACAGTTGGTGAGCATAAAGATCTTTTATTATGACCTTGGTGTCTGAGGTGTTGTTTCTAGTATTTTTTTTATGCTTTTACCTTTTACTATTTTATTCCCGGGACTCTGCAATCTGCAAGCATTTGTCATTTTTGCTATGATTGTCATTCATGAATCGGGATTTTTAAGTATTGGCTTCTTGCTGATGGATATGTTGAAATACTTGATTGTCTGAATTTCAAGTTAAATCTTACTAACAACCAAACTCTATATTTTGGGCTTCATAGGGATCAACTCTTCTGATACTCTTTCTGACGAATGGTTCCAAACGGAAGCTGTACTCCGTGTTAGCCTCGGAAATTGCTTGTTTTTCACAATACTTGCTCTTTTGATGATTGGTATAAAGGATCAAAATGACAGGCGTGACGCCTGGCATCATGGTGGATGGATTTTTAAGATTGTGATGTGGGCTTTGCTTATCATCCTCATGTTTTTCCTTCCAAATCCAGTATCATCGGTTTATGGTTAGTTAGCCTGGCATTTATCTCCCTGCACTCATAACAAGTGCGTTATGCCAAGTTTATTGTTATCTTATGTATTAATGGTCATTATTATAAATAATGTTTGTTTTAGCTAAAAGTGTACTGGTGTCTGTCTCGCATGTAAAGATGTCCTAGTAATGAAGTAGCAGTTAACCTTATCTCAGCAAGCATGTATCTTAGTATATTTTACAATTGAACATCTTGCTTGCCTTGAAGTGTGGGTTACAGAATGTCTGAGGATATTACTTGAGACCCAATTATGCCATATTCATATGGTATACTTTCTCCATCCCAAAAAGGTGCAACACCTTTTCAGTTTGGGTTATCCCAGAAAGGGCAAACATCAAAAGAACGAAGTTTTGTTTAGTTAATATTTAGTGTAAGGAAGATTTTCTTTTCGCAATAGATGCAATAAATTTTCAGAATTTCTTATTTTGACCGCTAACCTGATGATCTTTTAACATTTGATGACGTGGATACCCATTTACAAAAGATTTACGAAATATCTACAAAAGGGTTATGACAAAGTGTACGATAAGTTTGCCATCCACGCCATCAAATATTAGAAGATTAGCAGGTTACAGGTCAAAGTGTGTAAAAAGTAGGAAAATTTGAAACTTTGTAACATTGATTGAGAAAAAAAGTTCGCTGTTACACTAATTAGAAACCAAGGCAAACTTCATTGCATTTCACCCTTCTAGAAAGATGCAATATTTACTTTTTCGGTATTCTTTGGACATTAATTTACTTTATTTCTCACTAGTAATCAGGACCTGATATTTTTAATTTTGCTTTCCGTTCACTACTTTCCTTAATTTTGACCTTAATAAGGGGCATTTGTCAAACATTTTTGTTGAATTATGTGCCAAGCCAAATATTGCATTTTAGGATGGAGAGTGTAGCACTTACCAATATTATAATTATCTAAGGTGCCCTCTCCACCTGCTTCATCATTTCATATTATTCAATATAGCTATGTGGAAATCTGCTTGCCTCTTCAAGTTGAAGTTTAGGTGATATAAATCGAAACTCTTAAATATGCAGGATTTATATCAAAACTTGGAGCAGGGTTCTTTTTACTAGTTCAAGTGATCATATTATTGGATGCTACACATTCATGGAACGATGCTTGGGTTGCCAAAGATGAACAGAAGTGGTTAGTTATAAGCCTCCCGTTTCTTTTTTTTTCTTTTTTTGAAACAATCAACAAAATGATTCACATAGCGACTCTGAAGAGACTTGAACCATATTTGTGATCCACCGACACCATTGGGCGAAAGGCCACTTGATACTGTTTCTTTGTTTCTAACTGTTAAAATGAATGGAATGGACAAGGAGACAAATACTGAAAGTAGTGGTCTGGACAAACATGTGCTGAAATAACAATGCCACCGTTGCTGATTCTTCCTTTTTTTATTCTCTTATTTCCTGTATTTCTACTATCCAATGAGCTCTACTCTCTCTCTCTTCAGTAGTCTGCTATTTATAGACCTCAGGTCCCTTGTATTTCCTTGAACCGTGTCGAGAATTAATACACAAATCTGATTCAAAAATGCTCTCCCCTCTGTTCTTATCTTGGTATCAGACTAGTGACTCACGTCCTCTTCCATGGGAACCTCCGTTGCTCAAGGCTCTTCTTCTCCCTCATTGCCTCCTCCGTTCACCACCATAACCACACCACTACAATCAACACTGGTATTATCTCCTACTTTTACTACTACGCCTCCAATTGCTTCCTTCCTGTCTTCTCTGGTTCCCTCTATTTCTCTATTTCAAAGTCTTGTTCCTCTTACCCTAAAGCTGGATAGAACTAATTATTCCTTTTGGCGTTCTCAAGTCTTACCAGCCCTTCATGCTCATGACCTAGAGGGTTTCATTCTAGGCACAAAGGTTTGCCCTCCTCAATTTCTTCCTGAGGTTACTGGTACTGTTACACCCACTGGAGATAGTCAACCAAACCTAGGTTTTTCTTTTTTTGGGTGCGCACAGATCAGGCTATCATGAGTTGGCTCCTTAACTCAATTTCGGAGACTATGCTTGGTCATGTCATTCGTTGCTCTACGTCTCATCAAGCCTGGAGTACTGTTGAAACTCTCTTCAGTACGAGTTCAAGGGCTCGAACTCTTCAACTGCGATTTCAACTTCAAACCCTTAAAAAGGGTAATCTCTATGTTCAAGACTACATGTTAAAAATGCAATCTCTATCTGAAAGTCTTGTCTCTGCTGGACAACCTATATCCGACGAAGAACTTATTCTCTACATTCTCGGTGGTCTTGGACATGACTACGATTCAGTCGTAGTTAACCTCACCTCTCGTCATGATCAACTCACAATTCAGGAGGTCCAATATACGCTTCAAAGCCAGGAGATGTGTCTTGAACATCTCAACACCCCTCTTCCATCTACAGAATTCAGCAGTTCGAGTGCAAATCTTGCTACTCAAATGCGACGAGGTCTTGATCTTCAAGGGACCACCCCTTCTTTTAACATCACCAACAGCCGTGGATCTCCACATGGTCGTGGCAGGTGACGAGGGGGTAGAGGAAATCGGCCCCTGTGCCAACTTTCTGGTAGATTAGGACATTTTGCTTCCAATGCTATCAACAATTTGATGTTAGTTTCCCTGGACCATCTACTGGTTCGTCTTCTTCTGTCTCATTTGGGCAACGGAACTCTTGGAGCAATGACCAACAAGCCTACTTCACCTCTGCTCAAGAAAAACATTTTGATAATGCTTGGTATCTGGACAGTGGAGCTACAAATCATATAACAGCAGATTCTTTCAACATCAGCCACAAATCTGGTTTCACAGGTAATTCAAAAAATTTCATTGGTAATGGACAAACTCCTATCACCTATTCAGGCGGTAGCTCATTTTGCACAACCCTCTTACTCACACCATCATCTCTTCAAATCATATGCTTTGTGTTCCAGAAATCTCCAAAAACTTGTTATCTGTTGCTCAACTAACAAAAGACAACTCTGTGTTTGTTGAGTTTTACCATGATTGTTGTATTGTGAAGGATCTCAATTCGAGGAAAGAGCTTCTTCGAGGGATGTTTAGTGATGGACTCTATAAACTTCAGCTGGACAATGGTTTTAATATGACATCTGTCTCCAGTTCTTCATCATCCGGTTCCAGTTCTCCCATTTCTTTTCGGTCTTTATTTGCTCAAAATGTTTATGTTTCTCAAGTTAATCTATGGCACATGAGACTTGGGCATCCCAATTTCTCCGTATTAAAACACATGTTGAGTAATGAACATCTTTCTGTCTCTAAGAGTTATCAGTTTTGTGATTCTTGTCATGATGGAAAATCAAAGCACATAACATACAGTCCCTCACTCAAAGTCTCTACAAAACCTCTTGAATCAATTCATTCTGATGTATGGGGTCCTTCTCCTGTTCTTTCCAAAGGGTTTTTGGTATTATGTTCATTTCGTGGATGATTTCAGTAATTTTACCTGGATTTTTCCACTAAAACTCAAATCTGATGTCAAAGACATATTCATCAATTTTCAGAAATTAGTCGAAAGAAAGTTTGAAACCAAAATCAAAACTGTACAATCTGATTTTTTTGGGGGGGGGGGGTGAGTATCGCAATCTTGTACCAATTTTGGCATCTTTAGGCATTCATTTTTTTTTATTAACCTGCGAGCCGACTAATCATAGGGTGACCACTTGCCTTGCGGGTAGCCCGGAGTCACCGCATTTGAACCTCCATGGCCACAAGGGGATTTTTGTTCCTCCTTGGATTTGAACTGGGGACCTCCAAGTATTTTTGACCTTTGGAGCCCAGCTCAAGTCAATCAGGCACCACTCTTGTGGTTTAGGCATTCATTTTAGACACCCATGTCCACATACTCACCCTCAAAATGGCAAGTCCAAAAGAAAGCATCTTCACATAATAGAAATGGGTCTCACTTTACTTCACCAAGCATCCATGCCTCTTCAATACTGGTGGGAAGCTTTCAGTACCTCTGCTTTCCTAATTAATCATCTTTCAGCTCCAACTCTGGACCTCAAGTCACCTGTTGAGGTTCTCCTTCAACAGATACCATACCTCCAATTTTTCAAAGTTTTTTGTAGTGCCTGCTTTCCACATCATCGGGCATACAATCATCATAAGTTAGACTTCAGTTCCACCAAATGTGTTTTCATTGGTTATATCCAAATCATAAAGGCTACAAGTGTCTTCATCCATCTCGTAGAATCTATGTTGCTCAAACTGTCAAATTCAATGAAATGGAGTTTCCCTTTGCTACTGGCTTTCAATCCTCTCTGCCCAATTCGTCTGAGTCTCCTTCCATCTCTGCCTCACCTCAACTTAGTCACTGGCTACCGTTCTTATCTCATTCAAGTAAAGATGATAGAGCTTCTTCACCGACATCTCTCGAAGGCACTCCACAAAGTACTAATCATGGTTATTCTTTAAACTTTGTAAATTCTCCCATTTCTTCTATCTACTCTTCCTCTCCCACCAAAGCTCAAACACCTAACCACACTTCATCCCCTCTTACCAGCCCCATTTCTGCTTCCCCTCTTCCTCCAAAACCCTCCCATCCAATGATTACACGTTAAAATGAATGGAATTGACAAGGAGACAAATAATTGAAGTAGTTCTGGACAAACATGTGCTGGAATAACAATACCACTGTCGCTGATTTTTCCTTTTTTTAATTCTTTTATTTCCTGTATTTGTACTATCCAATGAGCTCTACTCTCTCTCTCTTCAGTAGTCTGCTTTTTGTAGACCTCAGGTCCCTTCTATTTCCTTGAACCGTTTTGAGATTTAATACACAATTCTGATTCAAAAATGCTCTGCCCTCTATTCTTATCTCTAACCATTTTGTTATTTACATCTTCAGGTTCGTTGCTTTACTTGCAGTATCAATTACTTGCTATATTGCTGCATTCACAATTTCGGGACTACTGTTTATTTGGTTCAATCCCTCTGGCAATGACTGTGGCCTTAATGTCTTCTTTCTTGTCATGACAATGATTCTTGCACTTTCATTTGCCATTATTGCGCTACATCCCAAGGTAAGAACGAACATGTTGTGTTTATTGTTACCTTTCTTAATTTATCCAAGTTATTACGGTCTAGAGACCTAAGTTAGACTAGGGTGTGTAGTTTCTTTTACATTTATCATGTTGTTCTTGTACCTGCTGCTATTTGTATATTATTGCTTACTCTTAACCAGCTTTTCAGTTTTTATCTTATATGCCTCTCTCTTTCGCGCACTTTTCACAAGTTCATGGTCTTCTGGAAACAACCACTCTACTTTTTGGGTTATAAGTCATGTTTGCATACATCTTATATACCCCGAACCACCTGGGCAGGATGCATTAGGCTCGTTTTGGCTTATCCATATGGTGGAAGCAATGAAGTTGATGTTGTGAAATCTACTCTTGCAGTACTTTAAATTCAACAGCAAACTCTAAGTTGAACTTTCTCTAAGATCTTATGTTACTTGGTTTATATCAGGTAAATGGTAGCCTGTTGCCGGCTGCAGTAATATCAGTTTACTGTGCGTATGTGTGTTACACTGGTCTCTCTGCTGAACCTCGAGATTACGCCTGCAACGGTCTTCCCAATAAATCCAAAGCAGTCACCACAAGTACCCTTGTTCTCGGCATGCTTACCACTGTTCTCTCGGTTCTATATTCAGCACTTCGTGCTGGTTCTTCCACAACCTTCCTATCCCCTCCGTCTTCTCCAAGAGCAGGTAATAAGCTGTTTCTTAATCTTTTTTTACATGTCAGGGGTTTTCACAGAAACAGTCTCTCTCTCTCTCTCTCGGGACAGAGGTAAGATTTGCAAACATCTTACCACAAAATTTACTTGCGGGTGGGATATGTTGGCTCTGTTTAGCTTGGTTTACTTAGGGGCTGTTTGCTTATTGCCTCTTACTGGGGAACTAAACACTTGCTGCCTCTTGGCAGCATCCAAAACATACGGCTTTCTGGATGTAGATGGTGATATCTATACAGATGGATCTTACCCATAATATGTGGAAGTATCAACGTAATTTCATAGTAAAAAATGGCAGACTAGCTGATATTTATATCAGTTAATGAAAGGACATGCAGTCAGTTTAATAAGGATCGAGTGACATTGCTCGCAACTCAATCATAGATGATGGAATGATCAAAGATATAGTCTCTTATCAGGTCAAAGATGATGGTATTTACCAACAATCTTATTGGGACACATTGCTGACTGAGAATCTTACCCTGAAAGTGAGAGTAGTGACTCTTACCCTGTCAACACTTACCAATTTATGTTGGTAAATGTGTAACCAAAAGGTGCACTCATTTGGGCTAGTATGATTCTAGCATATACATCTTATATATTAAAAACACTAATATCTAGCCAAGTCCTTTATCTCATTGTCAAAATCATAACAAGTCAGATTGTGTCAATCATCTATTTGTTCTGATTCTTTAAGCAAACAGTGAGTCCGTGTAATTGATCAGAATCATGACTGATTTGTCCTCATCCTATCGGCCTACAATTCTACAAATAGTTCTAAACGAAGTATTCAAAAACATGGTTGTGTTCTTCTCTGGACTTGCTTGTAGTGTTTTATTGCTTTGAAATTTATTAGGAGCCACATGAATGGCAACATATATAAAAACTTCACTCTACTTTAACATTTCATCGTTTACGTACTTGAACGAAATGATAATTTTTTTCACTTACTTCTACTTGATATCATGTCAATTACATCATTTTGTTTACTTTTTCTTGATGAAATTAGCCAACATAAATCATGAATAACAGTTAAGATGACCAACATTCTCCTTTCTCTTTTCTGGAATTGAATTTTTGTTGATTCGTTTGATTAAAATTGGACATAGTAACAGACATGATTATAGGAGTATAATTTGCAATCTTTGTATCTATTTTGCCATATATATAAGTTTATGTTGGTTTAAACATTGCTGTGTTATAGTTTGCAAGTTTTGCAGCAAATTTATATATGCTTTCCTGAATGATGCTACTAGTAGTATGAGAAATCCTCAATTCTACTCATAAGTTAACTTCAATCAACAACAGGTGATAGAGCATCTCTTCTAGATTCCGAAGAATTGGAAGCAGGCAAGGGCAAGAAAGAAGCGGAAGCAAAACCCGTGAGTTACTCGTACACATTTTTCCATTTGATATTTGCATTGGCAAGCATGTATTCGGCCATGCTTTTATCAGGCTGGAGCAGTTCAGAAAGCTCGGACCTCATAGACGTTGGGTGGACATCGGTTTGGGTTCGTATCTGCACCGAGTGGGTAACCGCCGGGCTCTATATTTGGTCCCTCGTTGCTCCGCTCCTTTTCCCTGACCGAGAGTTCTATTAGATGTTTGTTTGTTGATTTTTCGGTATGTGGATATTGGGTTTTCAGTCAATTTGTTAGCGTGTAAAATGTAAATAAATAGATGTTGGGTGGGAGATGATAGGTGCTCTAGTTCGGTGCCAACGATCCAATCTATATTCCTTGTGTTTGTGGTGATCTAAACCTATTATCTATTCTCATGTCTTTACATTAGGTGTGGTGGCTGGTGTGTGGTGGCGAGGTCAAAGCCTTACGAGTTACAATGATGTTTCTCAAAGCGTGGCTCAAGGCAGCACACACATGCACATATCTATACCATCTTATAAAACATATTAGCAAAAGCCTTAAAAAGCATATGGTACTGTTTTTTATGCAGAAAGATTTTTAAAAAAATCTTTTAATTTCAAGATGAGCTTAGGAATGCTACGCTTAACGAACGCTTATTCGGGTAAGCGCTTGTCAATTTACATTACCTTACTGGATGAATATGGCAAGGATCAAGAATTTTATCCGGTAAGAGCGAGGTAAGGACCGAGAGTCTTAGTAAGTGAGAGCGACAACTCTTACTACGATTAGCGCTTACCGAGTAAATCGTTGCATATAATGTTGTTTTTGTTGAATAAAATCTTACCCAATAAGTAAATGATAGTGTTGAATTTTACCCGTAAGCTCTTACCGGGTAAATGGTAAATGACCTATTAGAATTTGGATTACCAATACCAGCAATGCTCTCATGACGATTCAAGCTCTCCAGACACTATTATTTTCCCACGACGACCATTCAAATATAATATTATGGTTACAATTCAAAATCGGTTAGGGTTCTGTTCAAGGCACTTTCCCTCTTCCTGTTCGTATCTTCTCTGGAGATTATCTTTCAGATTCCATTTGAGGTACTTTTCTTCTTCCCGTTCATATCCTCTCACACGATTGCTCAACCCATTTTTCATTTCCATCTTCACTTATGTGTGTTGGGGTTGGAGTTGTATGTGTTTCTAAAACATTATGAAATGGGTTAGTTTTCTTTCTACTGTGTTTGCCTCTTTTAAAGCTTTCATTTAGAGCTCTCAAAATGGCAACTAGACTTCAGCTTCTTGAGAGTGTAGGATAATCCCTAAGCGTTATTTCTTTCTTTCAGAGTGTAGGATAATCCTTGAATTTGCATACTCGACTTATGATAAGGCTACTCAATACTTCAATCGAGGTAACGAGCCTCACCTACCAAAGGTTTTCAAGTCTTCAATTTTTTGAATGCTTGCACTTGGTTCATTGAACACATTTTATTGAAGACCTCAAATATTGACTCAAACGGAAGAAGTGTTCATTGCATACTAACCATTTTGAAGATACAAAACAAAAACTATATTTCAACTGTTTATCTACAATCGCTCATACTATAATGTTCTTTTGGCATTTTTGTAAGAATGATGGTCAACTTTTAACGAAAAGACAATTATTATGGTCCAAAAAAAGTTGATCCCTCAAATTTTTCTATAAGGTTTGTGTACCGTTGATAATTTTGGAATTTTCTTTTGTAGGAGTTTGGTGAATTGACATTCAGTTATGGACTCTGTCTGCATGTACACCTTTGTCTTGGTGGTTTTGTGCTGCCTTTTGCACCTAAAATTTAGGTACAATTGTCTTTGCTTTCCTTTCACTACTACTGTTTTTTGCATGCTCGAAGTTGTGTTTGTATCCCACTACGCTCCAACAAAAATCTAATAAAATTGTATTATCGCCAGGTACGTGTTCCACCATTAGAATTTTCTACCAAGGAGTGTCCTCTATATCAGCGGATGAGCATACGTATGGGTTGGCGCCCAAAAGGAACAAGTATAGTTTTATACGGAAACCATGACATTGAGAACGTAATGAGTCTAATGTTTGTGGTCTCAATGTTTATTACTAAAAACACATTCAAATGGTTTGTTTGCTTTATTTCAAAATTTCCAATCTCGTGTTAAAGTAAACTAGAAAATAAGTTTGTTTGAACTTGCCAAAGTAACAACAATTTAACATGTTTAAAATCTTCTGATAACCATGTGATATTTACTCTAAGATGTTCTTTATTTGTATATCTACCGTGCCTTTTTGTTGGTCTTCCAAACATGTCATTTGCTCGCGCTCTCTCTCTCTCTCTCTCTCTCTCTCTATATATATATATAGATTTTTTAATCTGATAAAATTGTTTCATATAATTCATTGTTTAATTAAATGAAATCATTTCGTGAAATTGTTTAATCTGATGAAATTGTTTCATATAATTCTTTTCTTGATGAAATTGTTTAATATATTTTTGTTTCGATGTAAAAATGAAATTGTTTCATGTGCTTCTTATTTTGATAGAATTTGTTTTCGAAAATTACTATAATGAAGATGATAATATCCATAATTAACGTACTCCACAATAAAATGACTAATCAACTCATAATAAAAAAAATGAACAAAAGAAAATTTATAATTGGTTGCATGAGGTTTGCACGACTTGTACAAACCGGGGGGAGGGGGGGGTTGCATTTGATCCCTCCCCTATATATATGTGCATGTGTGTGTGTATATATATATATATATATATGTTTGTATTGAGTCTATACTACATGATAGATGGTCACAAGGAATCTAAAAATATACAACCACGATCAGATTATAAGGTCCCATCCAAATGAACAACTATGCAATCCTGGAGAATCATCAAGAGCGGGAGTTTTACATGTTTTTATAAATTTCTTAATCACGATATCTAGTTTATGGATTATTCTCTTATGGTTTTGTTTCTTACCACCCCCAATATGAACTAATCTTTAGATATTGGGGGTTGGATGATTTTTGGGATTTTAAGCATATGAACATGTAAAACTTAGATTTTTGTCAGGTTTTCAATTTAATGAAGTACATGATTTTTGTTTAATGTTGTTGTCAGCCTGATCAACTGTCAACTGATTTATTAATCTTGAATATCTTTGAGAAAAATATTGTTGGGGCTTAAATTGTAGTTATATCGAAATTGAGAGGTTTCTTTGTAAATACCTTTAGAGGTATAAATGGTTTCCTGCTTTGTTATTTTGAAAAGAAATTGAATAGATTGTAATCGTGCTGACGTATTATTTCTCCCTCTATAATACAAATACAGTTTCCACCATTGTTGATATCTTAAAGCTTAGATTTGTTACAAACTTGATATTTGGGAATCACAATTTGTATCAGAGTAAAAAAACTGGGTTTTATATAGTCGATTGTTTTTTATCAAGATTCATCGAATTTGGAGTTTTAATCTTCAATTCTTAGTCTAATTGATTCGGTTTCATTAGTGGAGAACATCTGAATCAAATTTTTCTGCAGATTAAGAGGTTTTATCGATTAATTTGGATTTTCTTGAAGTTTTTGATCGAACGACAATTTGGGTTAATTTTTGCAAAATTAACTCATTCTAATATGTTTTTGGTACAACAATCTTCATTTACTATGTTCGTGTATACAATTCGGCACTGCATATCGAGTTTCATCAAGTTTGGTTGAGATTTGAGGCTTAATTTCTCAATCTGTTGAAGATTTGAATTGCAAGGTTTGATTATCTATCTTAAGGAAGGTTGTGATAGTTATGTATATCACATTACATTGTTGCGATAGTTGAATCTATCGCATGACACTATATGCGATAGTTGATACTTTCTGTGATATTTTTGGTGTTACCCACAATATTTTGTTTGGCTTGCGATAGTTTGAGATATCTACAATAGTACTAAGTCTGAGATAGTTGACTATAGTGGTCTGCGATAGTTGACTTTTAAGGGTTGACTTTTTAGATTTTGACTTTTTGGATCAAATCAATTAATTGTCTTACGATGTTTCAAGTTTAATAATCACAATTTCAAGTGAAGCAATGATAATAGGTTTTGACGTTATACCACCAATCTTATTCAAAGGTGATTACCCACAATGGAAAGATAGGTTTCTAGATTTCATTGATAGACAGGATGAAGAGATAAGAGAATCTTTGGAACAGGGACCAGCTAATCCTATGCAAGAAACTCCTGCAATGCCTGATGCAAATTCACAGATTCCAGTAAGAATAGAACCTAAAAATATGCAAAGATGACTTAAGCATAGAAGAGGCGTTTCAAAGCTGACAAGTTGGCAAGATCCTTTATTCTTCAAGGACTAGAAAATGAGATTTATACTAGCATTTACAGTCATAAGCAAAGTGGTAAAACAATGTGGGATCAGATAGAGAAACAAATGATGGGAAGTAATGTCGGAGCTTAGATTTTAAAGTGACTAATTGTATTAAAGGATACGAAGACTTTAAGGCGAAATATAGAGAGATATTAGAAGCAACCTATGAGGTTTTGCAATTTACTTAATGAGTTGAGGAAGAATGGGATTCAAAAGACATTGATAGAAATCAATTTGAAGTTTTTGAGCAATCTATAGGCTGAATAGAAAATATTTGCATCTTATATCATTCAGAACAAATCATTGTCTGAACTTCACATACATGTAGTGTATGAGAATTTGTTAAAGACTCAGGATGAAGTTTTAGAGTTGATTGAGGCAAAGAAGAAGTCAGAAAAGCCACCAGTAGATCCTTTAGCTTTAGTCGCTGACAAGAAGCAAATGTATTCTTCTAGAAGTTCAAGGAAGGAAAGAGAGCATAGTGAATCTTATAGCAGAGGAAGTTGGCAGTGTTTCAGATTCTGATTTGAATGATCTTAAGCAGGCTATGGTACTTCTTACCAAGGTTTTTCAAAAGAAATTCTATAGAAATCTGTCTTCAAACAAGCAGCGTTTTTTTTCTAGCTTAAGGAAGCCTGAATACAAGAATAAGTATGAAGGAAAGAAGAGATTTGAAGAAAAGAAAGCTGAAGAAAAGAAGACTGATGAGGTACAAAAGTGCTATACATGTGGAAATACTAGTCACTTTGCCAAAGATTGTTGGAAGCCAGTTGTGAAAGATTTTGGTTATTATAAAAACAAGATGCTCTTAACAAAATAGAAAGAAGCTGGTAAGGCATTGATGACAGAAGACGATCACTGGCTACAATTGTTTGGGAGTGATGAGGAGGACAATGCTCATGTACATATATGTTGGCTAGAGAATCAAAAGATCATAATTCTGATAATGATGATGATCGTGCTTCTTGCTACTTTGAATCTTTTGAGGCACACTATATTTCATGTCTTGATTTTGAAGAGCAAATGA